GTACGTCACAAAGGTCACAATTACATGCTTTCCCAAGGATGTATGCGATATAGCCGTAAGCGTGTGGTGAGGGCAAGCGTGTTTTCGGCATTCAACAAGATATTAGCAGGCTAGAACTCATCCTTTATCTATCATTATCTGGCCAATATCTGTAGGATCTCATCCCCCCTTCGAGTGTCGAGCTTGCTCCTCGCTTGTTTGACCATTGTGCCAATCGCCCGATTGCCATATTCCTTTATTCCACGCACGTATATAAGCGCTAGCTGCTGGGATTGGGATATGCAGGGCGTACTGGTACTAACCTACTCCCCAGCTCTCTTGATATAATGCCCATGTCTGACGCTGAACAGCATACGTCGACCGGCATGATGTGTAAGTCGCATTTGAATTCACTGAGAGCACTAGGTTTGGGTTGGCGTTGACCACCATATTTGTATCTCTTAGATCCCGGTGACTTACCTGTGTCTGGTGCTGCCCCCATAAAGCACCCATACTTCTGTATTGAAAGCGAAATGGTGGCCATACAGGCAAGTAGGCTGTCGTTTACCACCTGTTAGTGTGTGCTGAGCCTGGCTGTTTCTTAGGTTGAAAACACGCTATTTAACGTGCATAAACAACAACTCTGTCGTTCTGAAATCTTCGAAGACATGTTTGGCGTGAAACAAACCGGCATAATTCCTCAAGGATCGACACTTGATAACCCCATTAAGCTGCTCGGGATCTCCACTTTGGACTTTGAAAGTTTTTTAATAGCGTTGTATACTCAGTAAGCATATCCTTCTTACCCGGCCAGCCATTTGACCAACCCAACCTGGTTGACCAGCCACTGCCCCACCTGTGTTCCTGTGCTACAAGTGGCTACGACACATTCATTTGATGCTCGTCATATCATGCCAGCCTTTCGACTTGCAGACATGTGGAACTTTACGAGCCTTTGCAGCCATCTAACAAAGCTGGCTGAACAAAAACTCGACATGGTTGAACAGGCTGTGTTTGCACGCGAGTTTGGCCTTGATGATTTGCTCAAGCAAGCGTATCTAGCCCTGTGCCAGCGTGACGATCCCCTCACATCAAAAGAGGCAAACAAGCTGGGGTTTGATGGTTCTGCTCTTGTTGGGCGTTTGCGTGAAGAATCTTGTAGGAGGTTCTATCAAGTTGCCTCGGCTTGTTCCCCACCACGGCGGGGCTTTAGTTCAAGTCGCT